GGTGGGGATCCCCAGAAACTGGATGGACTGTGCTTAGGGCAGGACCCGGCACCCACGGGTGTTGTCATGGTGACTGTTCTTGCCCTGTTTCATCATCCTCACGGACATCATCCGGGTTGGCCACCCTCTAGGGGATCTGTGTGCCTGCCTTCACAGAGGGCTCCAGAAGGGGCTTCACAAAGAGGAGAAAGGAAGAAATTTTCACCAGGGAGGGAGGTGAAGGTTCCCAGAAGTGCAGGGAGGAGGGAGGAGCCCACTGGATTGTAAGCCCCGAGAGGGCAAGGCCTGCATCCATTTCTTCCCTGCTGTGTCCCCAGCACTGAGGACAGTGCCTGGCACAGGTTTGGTGCTCAGAGCACATTTTTTTCAATGAATGCATGGACTTTTGAGCGGATCACTGCGTCCCTGGAATGTGAACCTGCCCTGGGCTTCTGGCTGGAGATAATTGGGTGCTGAATTGTTGACTGGTTGGTGATACAGGACTCAGCCTTCAAATTCCTGTGCCTGGAATTTGATCATGGAAATACAGAGAGCAGGGCAGTTAGCAGTAAGGGCTCAGGAAGCAGAAGTGAGAAATGGGGTGGAGTTGGTCCTTCCAAGGGCGAGGCAACCCGGGCACCCTGGGGGAGAGCAGCTCTCCAGCTCCCAGGCGCCCCTCCATCTTCCCAGCTACTTAAGTGGTCAGAGGAGGAAAGTGAGAGGGAGGAGCAGGGTGCTCCCCCCCATCTGAGAGACCCTCCACCACAGGGAGCTCATTCCCCTTCATCTGCAGGCCCCTCACTGAGCCCTGCTATGCACTGGCCTTGGCACTTGGGGCCAGGGCAGAACCACAGCCCTTCAGAGTGGCCTCTGTGGTAGGTAGGAATCCAGACAGGGCAAGAGGAGAGGGAGCACTTCTTGGAGGAGTCCATGTCTACTGTCTGCAGTGGTTGCTGAAGGGTGGAACAAGTTGGCCAGGGAAAAGAACAGGCAATGACTTTCGAGGCAGAAGGAACAACGTGGGCAAAGGCCCAGAGATTGGAGAGGGCCTGGCCAGTTTGGGGAACAGCAGGACATTCCATGTGGCCAGACCACGAATGGGGGTGGGGGGCGGTGAGGGATGGGGCAAGAGGGGGCACCGGGTGGAATCTCCCCTCCCGAGTCAGAGTCTGCCTGTGCTGGAGTATCCAACCCAGCGCTGAGAGGGGCAGCTGCACTCGAGTGACCTGTCCTCGGAGCAGAGCCCAGGCCTCAGGGTTCAGCTCTGCCACCAGCTGGTTGTGTGACCCAGCAGCTGGGATGACTCCCCCATCTGCACAGTGAAGGGGCTGCCTTGGTGTTCTCTAAGGCCCTGTCCCTGGCTCAGAGGGTCCCTGGGTTGGGGGAGGGCACTGTGGGCTTCTGGACCTGGGCAGCAGGATGTAGGGAGGCTGGCCTTTGTCAGGAAGTGCCATCCCAGGGGCCAGCGCCGTCCAGCGGGTGCTGCCAGCATTCACTCCAGGTCCAGGGATCAGGCTCAGAAGAGACACGTCCCAATGGCTCCTGGCTGGGTGGCTTTGCTCTTCCCTGGGGAGACCCTGTCTACTTCCCCAACCACAGAGGAGGTCTGGGTTCCATGGTGCCGGGCCCTGGGCTGCCTGGCTTTTCAAGGACGGCTGAGTCACGGCTTTGGCAGCCCTGGCTCAGCCTTTTCCCCCAGCTGAGGGCCGAGGGGGATTGAGCCTTTCTCTGGCATCTTTCCCACCCCTAGCTGCCTGCCAGGTTCAGGCCTTTGCAGATGGGGCGAGGGTCACATCTTTATCTGGGGCTTTGCTGTCGGGGTCCCAGGAGCCCTTTCCTGCACAATTTCACCTGTGTTCCTCACAGATGCACCTTCTAGACAGGGCTACTGCCCCACTTTGGTGTGGGAGGTGGGGCACTGAGGTTCCAGAAGGAGCAGGAACCCTGCCTAATGATACATAGCTGGGCAGTGTCAGACTTGCAGCTGTGAGGTGTAGAGAGCAGTTAAGCTGCCGCCCACCCCCCCCCCCACCCCCGTTGTCACAGAGAGGGCACTGTGCCTGAGGACCCCACATTGGATCCCATGCAACCTGCAAGGGAGGGTTTGGGCCACCTGAACTCCAGAGCTGCTTCCAAGGGCATAGTCAAGAATGTTCCCTAAGGGCTAAGCCTTTCTCTCCTTGGGATCCTGCCAGGCAGGAGTGGGGAAGTAGGGAGCACATAGGTTAAATGCATGGCTTTTGGGGTCCACCAGCCTTGACTCTAAATCCCCAATTCTACCTCTTTCTCAGTGTATAACTTGAGGAAGATGCCTTGGTCCCAGGACAGAGAATCACTGTTCCTCCCTCGCAGGGTAGGAGGAAGGGTAAGTGAAATGAAATGATCTGTTCATGCACTCACAGAAATATTCAGCGTCTACCTACAGTGCACCAGGGGCAAGATAAAGGAAAGAAATGAACAGAAGTTCCTTCACTGAACTTTCCATCTAGCTGGGGAGACTGACAGAAAAATGCAGATGTGATAAAGGATGAGGCAGGCTGGAGGTGGGGAAGGTGGGGAAGGGCAGGTAGAGCCGGCAGAGCAGGCTCTCAGAGAATGAGGCTGGGAAGAGCATTCGAGGGGGAAGGAATGGCATC